TGAGCAAGCGGCTGTGTGGTGCTTAGCTACCAGCTGGGGTTAAACCACAACACCCACATAATGAGTATCTGCCTAGAAGAGATCTGTTAGCTAGGGAAAGCTATGCTATTAAATTAAATCCCTCCCAATTTAAATTAAAACCTGCCGATTAGATGTGTAATGTAAACTGGTCACTTCCCACAGCTTTACAAAGTTGGGTGCATTAAATTCTTCGTGTATTTCACTATGCAGGAGGTTTAGTTGCATAAACAGAGCACTGCCCAATTAAACACATAAAAGCAGGACCAGAATGTATAGTAAGTGCATCGTGCTCCAGATAACATTGCTGGGTTAGTCCTTCTTTGGTATTTCTTCAATGCTTCTTTTACCACAAGCTTCACGGTGCTCTGTATGTGGGATTTCCTGCCGTTCTGGAGGCTGTTACTGTAATAAACTTCATGTTTCTCTTATAAAATCCGTCTTCCTTTTCCCAGCATACTAGGGCCTCTCTCTGTTCAGTGTTGCCCTCCAACATGCCCCCATACCTACAGGAAAGGATAAGTTCAGTAATTCCCCAGGCGCTGCTTGCTCTTTCCAAAGCAACAGCCTAGGCTGTTCGCTTTCCAACTGAAGAAGAATGGGATGTTGACAACTAAATGAATCTGATTGTTTTATTATATATATCTTCCTGCATAATTCACCAGTTGGGCAGGCAGGGTAGTAGGGAGATATTTATAGATACTAGAAATGTCACCAGGGTGTTAATTCTTCATCCTCTGAAAATCATCACAGGAAAAAGTTGGCTGTAAAATGCTGCAAGAGGATAGTGAATAATTTGGTGCTTTAAGGGGAGAAAAAAATCTGACAGGCATGAGATTTTTCCAGCCATATATGCCTAAGCCAGGCAACTGAATACAGCTGGCCAGGCTATTCATTAGGATCAATGCATTAGTCAAAGGTGAACATGCAGCTTCCCACTTGGCACTTCCAGTTCACACCTTCTTTCCCACTCTTTGCCCTTGTTTGAGTGGAAGGGACTGAGCAGCGAAGAACCCCAGCCCCAAAGCCAGCACAGCCCAATGCTGAGGCTCCAGTGCTGGTAGAGCTGCAGCCCTTGGGATGACATCCAAGGCAGAATTACGGTTGATCTGGAACAGAGCAGGCAGGGCTGGCAACTGAGTTAGTTGGGCAGTGCTGTGCAGCTGGGCAATAGGGCAGTAGGACAGTTTGGGAGCAGGGGTCCATGTGGTTGCTCATTTTTAGGGAAAAATGGAGACCCTGGGAAGTGACTTTTCCATCACTGGAACAGGTCTCATGAGACT